AWWATAYMTCYMSATATAAYAATTCCTTTTGGTTTTCATGTCCCTCTAACAATGAAATTTTATTCGTGTTGGATATCAAATCCAGTGATCAACTCCTCTCCTTTAATCACATTTAATCTAATCCCGCCATTTAATATAAAACATATTTTAAAAAATGAAATAAATTGAAATAGAAGGCGTAGTTCAGACGTCTGGAACTCCTCGTGTGCCGACCCCATTGGACACACATTTCCCCCCCCATTATATTTGTTTTAATTTATACTGATTGTATTTGGTACATGAATGGTTCGACGCCTGAACGGCTCCAAAAGAGTTGTGTTCGTTTGCCTGTCGTGGTGTTGCTGTCTTGTGTTCCTTTGACAGTTCGTCTATGTAGACATTCACATCTTGGATCGCGTCAGCCAGAAAAAATCCTTGGRAAAAAGATTGAAAAAAGAAAGAATCGTCGTCGTATCTTTTAGGGGTTCAAATAGTAAGATTTATCCTCAAAGTGGGGCTAAGATTAAACCAAGACCATGCCCCAACTTTCTCTTTAGGGGGAAATTGCTTTTCGTCGATCATCCCATGGGATTACCCCCTCCCCCGGAAAAGGAAGGAAATCAATAGACTGTTAACAGTCCCTCTCTTCCTTTCTAAATCAGTCGAATCGTTTTTTCTGTTTTTTGTTTTTTGTTTTTGGTCGCGCGGGGAGTGGGGGCAAAGTTTGAAGCACCAATCGACTGAGTTGGGAGCAATCTCGAGCCCAGAGTTTTCTCAGTGGCGTATTTTTTAAAGCAGGCGTTGGCAACAAAGCAGGAAGGCGCTGGAGGGCTCTGGCTCTGGATTGCATTACGCCCAGCAACACTAAAGGCTCGGTAAGCTAGGTTTTAGTTTTCTATCTGCTCACCTGTGGTTTCCGTCCAGCAGTAGAATCAATCATWACATTGATCAAAACAGGTTTTTTCTTCTCACTAGTTTCCTTGAAGGCTTTTCTCAGAACTTCTTGTAATTCTGATTTAGTTTCGGCGAAGTACCCTCGACAACCAAATGCTTCRATTATTCGTTCGTAGCGAGCCTGAGGAAGGAGTGCCGTGGGGGGTGCCCTGGGAAAAAGGAAAAGGAGCTTTTAAAATAGTTTCCTTCAACATTTTAATAGACTTGCTCCAAGTCTCGCTCGTTATTTTTTCCGTTGGCGAGTCGTCAAATTCAAATTTCGGCACTTCGGGTTCCGACAGATTTCCGAAGGGAATGGACGAAAAAAAAAGAAAAGCGAGCGACAAAGAAAATCAGGGGTGATGTAGCACGTGTAGTGCTCTCGCCTCTTACCACACATGCAAGTAAAGTTTTTAAGTCTCTACTTGCCCATGGGTAGTTTAAATCCACAACTTTTTCTATACGGGTCCTCAGGTGGCCATATTCACTGCGTATCTAAAACAAAATCACAAGATGCGTGTAGAAGGAAGGCCAATCCGCGACGAAAAAGTTGCGGATTTAAAATCTATCCGGATACGTGTGGACGGGGCAAACAACAATGACAACAACAACAACAACAACATTGTAAATATAATATAAAATGGTTACTCTGTCGTAGGGTTATCCAAGTATTCCCACGCCTCCTTGTCCAGTCCACTATAAATACCATTATTATTGACAATGATAAATACAATTGGAAGGTTATATCTGCAARATATAAGAKAAAATATCGACTGAATTMTATATAACGCACGCTCTGATTGGTCGAATTTTTTACCACTACTATACCGATTCAGGCTAAATCATATCCCGGCACAAGCAATCAATAAAATCGATCATCCGAAATACAATCGATATCAATCGTATAATTAGATAATTATTATCGATTGGTATCGGGCAATCGATGATCAATCGATGATCACAAAAATGTAATCAATCGATTGAACCGATTAATTATATCGCTAATGGATGTGCATCGATTGGTATCAGATTTAATCGATAACCACAAATTTTCGCATTATCGATTGTTCATTGCCATCGATTTTGATCGATCATGGAATTTATTGATTACTTGAACCGGAATCGATCAAATATGAGTTGAGTTTGTTTAATGTCTTATTCTCTCCCTTGCCACAGGGGTATTTCTCCAGACTCTCCGGTTTTCCGCCCTCTGCAAAAATCAACATGTGGGTTGAGAGTCGTATGCATAGAAGATTTAATGTCAGTGTGTGTGAGTGACAGTGGGCACCAGTATCCCACTATAAAATAGCCTGCGTAGCCAGCCGTTCCTTGTGGGCTTTGTTGAGGAGGCTTTTGGGCGAGCTTGGGGAGGAGAGAAGAGGAGAGTGGAAACGAAGTCATAGTTTTATTTTATTTATCAAGACATAATAAAAGAAATAAAGAATCGAATATGTTTCATTCATCCTAGTCTCTCATGCATGTGTTTGCACATCACTACCRACCTGCAGGCCGTTTCTAACTCCATTCCTGAAAAACCAAAGGCGCTGTCCCCTTGAATGCACACTACCCTTCTTGGAAGTTTGCCTTCTTGTGATTGTCTCTCGGCAAGTACTGCAGCAGCGATGGCAAACCCTGTTCCTACCCCCATGGTTCCAAATGTGCCCGCATCAAGTCTAAAGATACGAAAATAGCAACAAGAAAGCCATATTGTTTCCAAATGTGCCCGCATCAAGTCTAAAGATACGAAAATAGCAACAAGAAAGCCATATTGTTTCCAAATAGTACACAAAAAGCGAGCAAAGTAAAGTAGCGAGAGCTCTTAAGTTAGAACACAGGGGTGCAAAGTGGGGCAAACGCGCGTGTTTTGGCGCGAAAAGTTCGCGCTGAATCCACAGGGACTCATGAATCAAGTTTTTATTGGCTCTCCCAATGTTGAGAGTCCCTAAGGGGGCAAACGAGCGTGTTTTGGCACGAAAAAGTTCATACTGAATCCACAGGGACCCAATTAGAAGTTATGTGGGTTGCACGCGCGCATTTTGGCGAGAAAATCACAATGCTATAGCTGGTTATATTATTGACGAACCTTTTCCGGGGGAGGCTGTTTGGCATCATTGTTCTTCCTATGTCCATCGTATTGGCACCTTCGTTAACAATAACACAATCCTCTGGAAGAAATTTCTTGACCTTGAAAAGAGGAAGAGAGGAAGATTTCACGTTGTCAGCTATTTGTTAAATAGAATTTTGTATGAGTATGAAAAATATGTGTGTATGGGAATAGGTGTGAGCACGCATCATGGAATTGCCATGGATACACCATTAGCATCATTTACCACCATGATTATTGTCATCATCGTTGTTATCATCATCATCTCGTCACAAGCATGCTCATTATCATCTTCATAGAAGTAAACTTAAATTATTAAATACTATATGTATAGTACGTTGTTTTATTTTTCATCRTCAAAATCGCATTACCACCATCACAACCAGCAATTTAATCACTTCCGCTATCATCATCATCATCRTCRTCATCATMATMATMATMRTCRTCATCATCATCRTCATSATGATCACCACGTCGATGACTATCATCTTTATTACCATCATCAAAATCGTGACAAGACCATGAATAACCTACACTTAAAACAATTATAATCATCATCATTATCTTCGTTGTGATCACCACTACCATCATCATCTTCATCACCACCGTCATCCCCATGACTACCATCGTCATCAACACCTGATAGTTTGACACTAATACATTGTGTCAAAACATTCATCAGATCAGATGAGCAGTAATCTTGCGCGCTTTGGTTGGTTCCGATCGTTGGACGTCATCAATACAGAATTAGTTCTGTTGCAGTAATCGATATCTTACTTGCCAAATTATAAAGCCCCACAGTTTTTACGCGAAGATAAAAAAATTACCTGGCCAAACACCTGGTAGTATGTCATGGGATTTGTCTCAGCATTTGACATCTCCTGGTGTAAAAAAAAACCATTTCATCAATGTCGGGTTCAAAACAAAGAACAAAAAAGCTGAGAACGAGATGGTACATGGGAAGTATGTCAAGAACATGTATCTAGTGATACGACTCGTGGAATGATTATACACGTTGCACTGACAGAGAGCATGGAGGCTTTTAAAACATGTGTTTCACTGCGGTGCATATCAAATGAATAAGAGAATAATTATGTCATTTCGTAAAATATCTTTCGGTTTCAGCTTCTAAGTTCTATTTTTTGAATATGACAACGATTTKGCAATTGTTTTTGTACAAGAAAACATAAATGAGAGAGGGAAACTTTTTAATATCGTGCGCGCCATGCAAATTCCCGGTTGGGCTATTTGTACTTAAAATAGCCCAACCGGGAATTTACATGGCGTGCGCGCTATCTCATCTATTCTACGACCCAAAGTCTATATATGCCCTTTGCAGTGTCTCAATGGACCACTTCAACGATACGGCGGCCATCTTGAATCGCAAGGCATTATGGGGGCGTCCAAGGGGCAAATAAAGCTTTGTTACAGTAATGGCGTCGATTGATATGAACAGCTCACCTKGGAGAGGCAAGGCTGAAAAAATAACTGGTTCTCAAATCCTTTTCCTCGCTAATAAATAGTCTTTTTGATAACAATATGACTGACCTCGCTTAGATTTACATTCTTTTCGGCTTTCRCTTTTAGTTGCCTGAACCAATCACGAGATCCACTCAATTGGCCACGTCTGTTACTATGGTAACGTCTTGATACTTCCATGTTAAGCTGTCAATCAAATGTAAATAGCTTTGTTTCACAAATACTCAACCCTTTTTTTTTCTTTTTCTTTTTTCTTTTTCTTTTTTTGAAGTCCAGACTTTATTATAAAATTTATTAGAAAGACAAACGCAAAAGGATAACGTTTGACATCATCCGATGTCATTATCAAGTAAGGATTACACTGGTGGAGCGTGTATTRATAAATATATTTTTCATGATAGTAACAGATAGGTAGGTTATTGGATATATTACTTAACAAACCTGTTCAACGACAGCTTTCAAATCTCCAAGCAGTGCCACCTGGCACTGTATATTATTATTGAGTTCTTCAGCATGTAAGTCRACCTGAATGAAAATAAAAAACTGAGTTTTAAAAGACTAGAAGTGGAAAGATTTCTCATTCAGGCGCAGAGCCAGGAAATCCACAATGCATGAACGAACAAGATACTGTAACATTCGTCCGGTTATAAGCCCAATAGTCTGCTAATACAAATGTTCCTTCCATTTACAACCCCCCCCCCCCTTCCCTCTTCCCCCTTCTCTTCTCATCTCATCTCATTTTCACACGTGAAACGCAAATTAGGGCCGGTACTATGCAAGCGCAGTATAATTTTAGTCGCGTTTGCATTTGTGCAAATAYGTTTTGACACGTTAAAAACGCAAATGCAAAAGCAAACACAAGAACGKGAAAGCGTTTTATTCATTGCGTTGGCCTTTGCATTGCTCGATCACTCCACAGGTTGTTTCATGGTATGGATARAATATCAATAAAGCTTTTTAAGGCTTGAAGAACTGTTTCTGTTGATAAAAGAAACCTTTTAAGGTGATGATTCTTCAGTTTTACTAGCAAATCCATTGTGATGTTAATATGCCAGCCATTTTCACAAAAGCAAAGTTGCTTTGCGTCACCAGCCAATGGATCTCTAGTTGGCAGATGAATAACAAAGGCTTACGTAACATGAATTTTTGCTATAAATTACTTAGAAGATATAACTAGCTAAAAACTAGTGTGAGCTGCGTCGGTGTTTCTAATGAAACAGTAATGATAAAAGGGTAAATTTTACAGCGTGAAAAGATGAAAATACTTACTGACGTTTCGGACGCTAGTCCGTCGTCGGAGTAGTAYTCCGACCGAAACGTCAGTAAGRTTTTTCATCTTTCCACGGTATAAAATTTACCCTTTTTGATCTAGGCCAAAGACTACACCTGAATGATTTTCACATCTTTTCTGAATCTCGGTGGCTTTCCAAAATGGAGTATCCAGTTAAGGCGAGCACCAAGTAGGATGATAACATCAGCATTCAACAAAGCTCTGATACACAAAACAAAAAGTATACAATGATCGCAATACCAATTCTTGATTTACMGCTTTTCAAAGCACTCTGACAAGTCCCAAAAATATATTGTTAATCCAGCAAAGCTCAAAGCAAAATAACTCTGAAAATAACTCTATAGCTTTGCTTTCCTTTTGCTTTGCTTTGCTTTGGTTTCCTTTCGTTGCCTTTTTCTTTTCCTTTCCTTCATTCACACATCTCTCTTTCTTTCATTAGTTAGTGAAAAGGTACCATTGAGTGATTTTGGACCGATCGCACTTATTGAAAGTGCTTGTTGTGATAAAGTGCTTATGATAACGCGTTTCAAGCAACTGTAAAAGTTTCGAGTTGTCTTTGCTCAGCCTTAGTCTAGATTGTGCRTTATAATATTCAACCATCCAACCAAAACCCGTGGCATTTTAATCAACTCGTATTGTTCCGTAGTACGTACATTCCTTACTATACAATGGGCCTTAATAAAAGAAAAGAACACATTTGTACACAATTGAGGCTGAGCAAAGACGAACTCGAAATGGAAGTATTGTGATCTAGCAGCCGCAACACAACAGGGATGGTCATCAGCTACCACACCCTTCCCCCATAGGCAGAGAGGGGGGCAAAATGGTACTTTGTATGTGATAATGAGCAAGAATGTTGTATTAACATCAGATAACTTACTGTGATCTAGCAGCCGCAACACAACAAGGATGGTCATCAGGTACCACACCCTTCCCCATAGGGGTGGGTAGAAATGGGACTTTGCATGTATTGATAAAATCACGAACAGGGTCTTCGGCATTGGCATAGGCAGCACCTTGATATTAAATAAGCATTGTGATATTTCTTGATGGTAATTACATATAAATCTATCTTTAAAATCTTTAAAATCAGAGGTCATGGGACCGGAGAGACACTTTGTCAAATGCAGTAACTTAAGTTCAAGGATCCTGAGTAACAAGACGATTGGAGACTGACATCTTGTAAAAAGCAGTGGTGACAAGGGGATAGACAAGGGATGTCTTGGGGATCCCCAGGGGACAAGGGGATGGGAGAGACACATACATAGTAGAGAGGGCTGTATGATAGTGGAGACAAGGGGATAGACAGGGGATGTCTAGGGGATCCCCAGGGGACAAGGGAATGGGAGAGACACATAGATAGTAGAGAGGGYYSTATRATAGTGGGGACTAGGGGATAGACAGGGGATGTCTTGGGTATCTCTGGAGGACAAGGGGAGAGGGTCGAATGGTAGTGGGGACTAGAGAATAGACAAGGGATGTCCAGGGTCAGATCCCTGGGGGGTTGGCAGGGACAAACCCTTTGGGGACTGGGGATAACAGTCTAATGTTGGGTATGCRTGGAAAGGTCATTGAACAGTACATTGACCTCTGATCTATAATAAGTACTTATAAGACAAAAACAAAAWAATAAGTGTGTTTCCTGTTGCACAACGGACCCTAATTTTCTTGCTGATTTTTGCTGAYCCCAATATTTTTTTCATTCCCAAATGCACCACAGGGTTCCCAGTAAGCTCATTTCTACTGTTGCATTAGTAAAAAAAATTCGACCTACTGACCCCAATTATTTTTCTCATGCAACAGGAAACACACAAATTTTTTTKATTGGCCTWAGTTATTGAAAATCTTGCAATTTCTCTGGAACATCACTGGGTAAAAAAGTTTTACCTTTTCCAATGATAACAAGAGGTTTTTCAGCTTTGGTCATGACATCTATAGCTTGTGATACAGCAGTAGGTTCTGCAAGACTCTTGGGAGGCTTGGGACATGATGCTGGGGTACTACAATAACAGACAATGTTAGCTTTTCACATTTCTGACATAGGGATTCCTTAACTTATTGCCTTAACTTCTACTAGTGCTTGAAAATCAAGGGTGATGTGGAGGTACTGTACATGTTCCTCACCTCTGGGGTATTGGTTTTGATTCCAAGATTTGGCATCACATGTGAGTAGAGAGAGCCAGCCCATGCAGGGTCAGAAAAAAACCTCTGYTCGCAGGGTAGAGTATAGATTGTTAAGTCTCTCTCTTCGGATTTGAGGGTTTTCATCTAGGTTCTTCAGTCTTACTCCCAAAGCTCTCCAAACAACAACAACACAATTGAGGGYAGGGTGGGTAATAAGTAAATTAACGAGAGCCGACTGCAGGTCAGTGAAGAGTGCAGCAGGACGACTGAAATACTTGAACTGCATGACCTTTACAGATTTGAATCAAAGTGACTGATAYGCTTATGAGAGTCCTGAAAACAGTATTCTATGTTACATCTTTTGTGGCTTTAAATTGTTACCTCACTTTGCAGGCCTCTAYTTTATCATTGATCATACTGCCAGGCATATCAATGTAGCATGCTCCTGGTCTTCCATACATGCTTGTTCTCACAGCCTATGAAAAAAAACAAGCCTAAATAGAGGCGTTTTCCATGTCATATCGCAAACAAGCAAGTCAACAAGTGAGGAAGCGATAGATATGGAAACTYATAAATAAACAATATCAAGCTCTAAACGTGTAATAATTTGTTTATTATACAGTACATTTAGGGTCAATACGATATGGTTTTTATTTGCAGCTTTATCACATAAGGATATCCACCCTAAATGTGTAATAAACATATTTGTACAAAGCAATAGCCCCAAAAGAAAAACTACCATCAACAGGGATAAATAAATAATAACTAAATAAACTTTGTTGATGGAAGATTTACATCTCTAGTTGATCTGGGACAGGACTGCCATTAACGAGATCATCCGATCCACATGAAGGTCTAACCATGATGTAATTACAAAGGCAGCACCTTCTCCTCAGTTATTTTAAGACCCTGAGTGTTGGTCTGGCCAAGACTTGAACCAAGACCTCTGGCACAAAAGACCCATGCTATTCACATGATAGGGCAATCCCAGACATCTTTGTGGAGTTTTCCCACCTTCATTTGTGACTTATCCAGAGTTGGGAAGTACAAACCTTTTCCACAAAGAAACCAATCTGTCCTATTCCACTGGGTCGAGCTGAAAATTTAGAATATGGCCTGGCAGCATCTACCTGTCAGTAACAATGCAATCATGCATTCATTGAATCAGTTGTTTTCTTCAACCAATCAATCAATCAATCAATCAATCAATCCATCCATCAATCAATCATTTGATTAATAGATTAATAAGTAATGCATTTATTAGGTCCACCCAATCATCCATTTTATTTCAAATTCATCCTTCCATTCATTCACTTTATTCATTTATGTCATTCATTTCATAACAATTCATTCCATTCATTCACTCACTCGTCCACTTCATTTAGCAGACAGGGGCAGATCTAGGGGATTGGTGCAGGGGATATGTACCCCCCCCCCCCCCTCCACTGCCCCACACCTATATGAGCTGCTGTCTAATGCATTAATTGGATATGTTTAAGTTCGTGAATTATATCCAAAATGGTGCACCAATTCCTAAAATCCTAAATCTGTCGCTGGCCAACCAAGACTCAAAGTACCTGTGGACATTCCTGGAAAGCTCCCATGCCTTCCTGGTCAACATCACTAGAACCACCAATGACAAGCAATGGCCTGGAAAATAAAGTTTAGGGAAGCTGTTTATTAAAGTTTTAGTTTTACTTTATAAACTTTGCCATATGGGCAGGGAAACCTCAGAGAGCAAAGCTCCACTACATGGCCCCAAAGAAAACAGTACGAAAAACTAAATACACCGAACTGTGGAATTGATTGCCCCACCATTRTCATTGATAAATTAAGAACATTCCATTATGTAGTCCTTAGTATGCCAATATTTTGGTTCCATTTTGATCACATACATGTAGAATGTTTGGAACTTATCAACAAAAATGAGTGGGGCAATCACACGAAAGTGGGCACAGCTGTCATTAGAAAAATTGGGCTTATTCCACAGTTCGGTATTTTTTGCTATACAACACATACTAGATATGACTATATTGATGGTTTTCACGGTGGCCATGTTGGAGGAATTTAACAAAAGAATTGTCAATGAATTCTTTTGTGATATCCTCCAACATGGCTGCCATATCTTTTGTTATTTAATTCTCTTGGGAATGGTTGAAAACCATCAATTGACTTTACATACTAAGTTTAACATAGAGACTTTAAAAACTTTTAATTTCTTACCAGCAGTTTTCATTAGCATTTGCCATCCCACCAAGGGCATGTAATAAGCCAGGACCAGACACAACAAGACACACTGCAGGTCTGGTATGAAGAAGATACAATACAAATATACAAACTAAGCTTCTTACTTTCTACAGGTGGCTTGGGTGACATGGTGTTATTACGGCACTGTTTCTCACTGCTTTGTAGCTCAAGCCCATCGTCACGGGTTTGTCAACTGAGCTACATAATTTATGTGAGTTGAGTTTATTTAAAGAGTTGTTATCTCTCTTCAAGTGTTTTTTTTCCTGGGTACTCCCATTTACTCTTTTGGTAAAAATTAGTGTGTCATGTTTTATAAATATAGAATGTAGTACCTGGTAGTGTGTGTAGTGTGGACCTATATGGAAGAGCCCCAGAGCCCTTAGGGTGAATGTTGGTTGTAAAATCTGTCATTTCTTTGTTATTCACAAGGCTTTATTTTTGTTATAAACCTCATTATAAATGCGAGGTCAATATATATATAGTCATTAACCCGGTTAATAACTATATATACACTTTGCATTTATAATGAGCAACATTTGATAGAAAACCTTCTCAATTGATAAATAAAATACTAATTACCTTGAASGTCGGCAATAAGCCTATACATCCCTTGGAACTGTGGCCCTCRGGATGTATATGGCTTATTGCCTCCGTTCTTGGTAATTATACTCTTACTTTATATACTAGGTTCAAAACACTTTTCAAAATTWAAAAAAAAGCCGAAGTACCTTCCAGTTAGATATCCTATAGCTGAGGCAGCATAACAAGCCTAGATAATGTATAACACAAGTAGTTTATACTTCAGTGTTTTGGTGGGTGCAGGGATACAATAGGTGGGAGGGGATTGATCGCTGCAGGTCTTTCAGAATGTTTTGGAGTAATTAGTGGTCATAAGTCTTCTTTATTCAAGAGCCAGTGTCCATTTATGTTCTACAGCTGGGAATCTAAGAAAAGATTTTCCTTCATTGGGTGATTTTACACCCTTCTACAAGGCTTAATAATGGGCAGTCATCAGACAATGTCCGACCAGAATTGTCCAGGAAAACCTTTGCCTTGTCAGTCACAGGGCTGTCAACCCCCCGAGATATTCAAATCTGGAGAATTGATAGGGAAGGGACATGACGTCACAGCGCGTCAAAAAGCACGCGAAAAGGCGTCTTTCGCTTTGTAACATTTGATGTGATTGGTTTATTTCTGACCAATCAGATTATCGCTTATATTACAATGGCCTGCTTGCAAGAACAGTTTATGAGGAACGTTTTGATTTTGTTAGCGATGTAAAATAACACAAACAACATGAAATAATTGGAATTTTATGGTTGTGAAAGTCTAGTCTCACAAGACAAGAAATGGCCAGCTTCGAGGATTATCCGGGAGATTTGAGACTCTAATCTGGAGATCGGGAGACACGGTCCAAAATCTGGAGACTCCCGGTTTATCCGGGAGAGTTGACAGCCCTGCAGTCATCTTAAACAGTATTAAACATTGAGCCAGAATGAGGTACAACCAAGATAAAACTAATATGGCTGGTCATCATAACCGGTAAATGATGGGCATTTTAATACCTTAAACCCAGCTTCTGGGGGATACCCGGCCCGGGATAGGCACACCCACCATACCGTGGGGATCAAGATTCATAGGCGCATTGTGAAAATGCGCCTCGACTTAGCTTCAGTTGTCGAAACTATTAAAAAAACGCGGCATACAGCAACAGAAGGTGTTATTATTCAAACAGAATGGTTGTTTTTTTTAAATGAAATTCTACGAGAGAGAGAGAGAGATATTACGAAACTGCGCAAAATAAGCCTGCAAACTTACCGCTTGCTCATTCCTCATTCCAATATATTTAATACCTTCTGCTTGTGCCGCCATTGCTACTTCTATCACTGGTATTCCCACAACACCAAACATGAACTCTACACCTTGTTTTTTAAGTGCTAAAGCAAGTAATCCAGCGCCAGTGATCATCTCATCTTCCGCCATCTTGGAAACCTTTGACCAATGGGCACTGCTGGAACCAAGGACTGCACTTACGTATTACACAGGAAGCCCAATAAAATCTCCAGGGCCCTGAAAATCACTCTACCATCTTCTGCAAAATAAAATGTGCCACCTTAGTATTCTGGAGGACCATCTCCCCTCTCCCCCCGTAGCAATGTTATCTCGCATGCATTTTACCAGCCAACCGCTTCAGAGTGTAGAAAACTTCCTTGATCAACATTGCTAGGGGGAAAGTGGCACATTATTTTTGCAGAAGATCAGGTAGTTTTCCGCTCTATTTGTATTTTGTGTTTCACTGTGCTCGAGATCAACTTGTCCCAGCAAATATGTAATTTGAAGATGAATCATCCGCGCAGAAATGACTCATTTGAGTGGATACGTGTCAAACAAAGGCAAAAATGGAATTGATACCAATATGTGGGTGTTATTCGTTTCATGGCTCTTGGAATTGCAACCTTAAAAATCCTTATTTCGATTGAATTTTTTCCATTTTCTTTCATTTCCCCCAAGAATGGATGTTTGTACAAGCATGTTTTTGAGTGTTCTTTCAAACGTAAGAATCAACAATCAATGGAATAAGATGGGACACATTAAGCAAGCTAAAGAAGTGAAATGCGCAAAAGACTTTTTTAAATCTAAGCGACTGGTCATAAAGTATAGGGGGTGGGGCAAAATCAGAATAGAAAGGTGTTTTTTTTATCTTGGCCCATTATAAAATGATGCTGAAAATGTGATGACCCAACCCCAGTTTAGAAGCAAAATTGCAGATGATCCACCCCTGAAAAAAGGATCCACTGATCAGATTTACCTACATTCAATATAAATCCCGAAAGAATTTTCTTGGTTGCATACGTCTACCACTTCTTGTAACACTGACTGTTTCGGCTTCTTCTTCCTCTCTGTCATCGTCTTCCTCGCTATCAGAAATTCCTATTTCATGAGTAACAATGTCAGTTTCTTCGTCGCTATCCAAATCTTCAGTATCCTCATCAGTGTCCTCACATGAATTATCATCATCTTCAGTGTCCTCGCTTAAAGTACCATCTTCATGCTCTTCCTCTGTTGTCGAAGTATTTAAAAGCTGCATAGACAGTCAAGCATTCATTACTTGGACTTTCTCACTATTGTACATTTCGCGCTTGAGCAAGTCGTGCTTTTTTAAAGAGTTCCAAGACTGCAACCCTCTGCTTCTTAAGCATTCCGCTTTCTTGTATGTCTTACCAGTCATAGTCTTCGTATGCTTTAATAATAAGTTTCTCTGCTTCCTTTTCATTTGCCCTTTTAATTTTTCTCATTCGAATTAAGCTACTGCAGATGTTCTACATACTTCCTAACCAGATCCTCTGCAAATGCAAATTTCCTTAAGAAATTCTGATGATGACAATTATAATACTCCATATTTTGGGTAATAAGTTCATGTTCTAGAGGAATACAATGCATATATTGTATAGCAGTGTATTGTTTTATATTGTATGCATTGTCTTGTCTTCTATTGTTGTTCTATTGTTTCTAGAACATGAACGAACTACCCTATTTGGTAATAGCCCACCCTTTTTAGAGTAAAGTCATTAAACCCGCACTTTAATAGACCCTAATTCCATATTGTTTTCCTTTGTGTCTATTTGAGTATTACACGTTGACTAGTATCTTTTGTTTCACGGGTTAAATGCCTTCACTCTAGTTGTCAAATTTTATCAACAGCCCACCCCTTTGAAGGAAATGTAACCTACCACTTCGCCTACGGCCTCATCCAATTTTGTCAGTCCTCAGAATTTTCCTCGTCCAGTTAGCATGGAGTCCTATTACATATACTACTAATAATAAATACATAAGTAAAGCTGACTTTTTACTATCTAATACATTGGAGAATTTATTCATACAGAGAACTCTAGCCAAACAACTTCTTTCAATGCATTTTAATAACATTCAATTCTTACACTTTGTTACGACTTTTTAGAGGCGCGCACCCTCTATTTTATTGCTATTTCATTATCATCAGTCTTGCCTTCGGACACATTTCCCTAAGTAGACCTTTCACAATGAGAACTCGATTAGAGTCAACAAGAATTGCCATATAAAAATCAAAGTACAAAGTAAAAATAAAGCCATATTATTACTTAAAAAAATCCTATGGGTTCGATTGCACTTGCGAATTGTTGTCCGTCGTACTGGAGGATCCGGGCAAGCGAAGTTTGAAGTTAGGGCTGTTGATCTGTGCTAGAGCTTGCTCGGCGTCTGCCGCGCTTGTAAAGACTGCGCGCAGTGTTTCGCCGGAACTAGGGCTGTTGTCACTCGGCCGTTTTATTCTGGCGCCTTTTGAAATAAGTTCATCAAAAATGTCGGCCTCGTGGTCCTTCACTCCACCAATCATATTGTAGATTTCTAGCACAGTTCCCCCACCTGTGAGAAATACAGGACATTCATAGTTAGATGGATAAAGTGATGACGAACAAGTGTTTAGATAGTTGAGAACAAACTCTGGCCCCGTGAGAAATTCTAGGACATTTAGCTATGTGATGGTCGTAGAAAAGAGGAAAAATAAACGAAACGAAATTGAAAGCAAAGAAAGGGAGGGAAAGCAACGGCACAGCACAGCGATGCAAAGCATTACAAATGAGAGTAAAGCAAGGCAAGGGAAACCAAGGCAAGGCAAGGGAAAGTATGGCGTGGCTTGGCGAGGAGAGGCAAGACAAAGGAAAGAAAAGCTCTAAATAAATACTCACCGCTTGAATTTTCGGTGTCTGACGACTTGCTGCCTTGTCTCTTCAAGGAACTTTGTTCGCGTGGGCTATCTTTCTTTTTGTGATATTGTTTAGACTTGTGTTTTGAGTATTGTTGATGCTGTGCCCCTTGTATACTTCCTCCCTGTGTTGGGTTGAACCTGGTATCACAAAAACAAATGCAAGTTATTTGACATGATGAAATAATGCATTTAATTTAAAAACGAGGCACGTATTTGATCTCTGGAAGACAGGTCAAATAGGATTTTAATAGTTGGATTTTACGGAGGGAGAAAACCCGGAGAAAAACCCTCGAAGCACAGAAGAGAACTGGTCACAAACGACATACGACACCGAGACTGGCGGGACTCAAAAACTGTGCACATTGGTAACATCGCTACGTCACCCGTTACTCTATGTTTCTATTTCCTATAGGAACGTAGAGAAACGCTCAAACATTAGGACATTGGACTTTATATTCCTGATGCCGCAGATTATTTTTGGCAGATGCCCCAATGTTCCTTAAAAATCTCACTGTTTAGCTTTCTTGTTGACTAACTTGACTGAAATAAGTATACAGTAGTAGAATAAGAGAAGCTATATCACACCTTTGGGCTTGATAATACTGTGTATAATGTCCTCTTTCTCCTGCAACCATTCCCATTGGTTCTCCATATTGAGTAACAGCTACTTGCCCCATGGCAGAACCCCCCTGACCTGCCATCATCGCAGATTCAGCCGTGTATAAATCCGAGGACTTCTGTGTTCTCCTATCTAAATTATACATTCTGTTCTGACCAGGAGGGTGAAACGGTGCCGGAACTTGGACTACGTGTTGTGGGTAGTGTATGGTGCCACCCTGAGCTTGCATCTGTCCAGGTTGATTGCCTGGAATGACAGGAGCTCCTACCTGGACAGGATGGGCACCAGCAACGACAACAGGAACCATTGGTCTAAGAACTTGGGACTGTGAATGCGATGTGTTGTGGTACTGTGTGTTTTGGACCTGTTGGTTGCTTAGCGAGTTTGCAGCAATAGATTGGTTGTATGGTGTTGCAAGTACTGGGGATGATGTTTGAGGTGGTGTTGGTGGTGACTGCGACCGCTGGTGCTGCAGGATAGTTCCATCCTTGCTGAAGCCATAAGTGGGCTGGTAAGTTGAGGGCGAATAAGGTGTCTGCGCTGTCACCACAAAGGCTTGATTCTGCTGTGATGAGGTTCCTTGCTGCATGGCTTGTGGTACCATGTGTGAATGGACTGGTTGCCCAACCATGGAATGAAGGGGTTGATGAGGATGCATTCCCTGAGGTGGCATCATCATGTACTGAACTTGACCTGCCTGCCCCGACCCACTAGCTTGGGATACACTTGCTACATACAGGGGTGGGGTGGTAGTTGATGACGCTACAACCCCTGAATCTCCACCGCCAATCATTCCCTGTTGCATGGTTTGATCAACTTCTTGAGGTTGTCCAGATACAGACATGTTAGTGAACTGATTACTCAAGTCTCGATATGATGGGGACGTCATTGGCTGAGCACTAACCGTCCATTGGGACTGGGTAGGGCTATCTGTTCCCTGAAAAGTAATACAAACCAAAGAAAACCTCAAATGCAATGTTCCTCTGACCATCGTCCTAACCATTTATCTCATGCCAGTACTAAATCAGTTGTAATATTATGATTGACAGTTACCATAACCTTTTTTCCCTTCCTTCCTTCCTTCGTTCCTTCCTCCCTCCCTACCTCCCTCCCTTTCAGCATCACAAGTGAGTAGACTTTGTTAGGTCTCTCCCTTGCTACGAGGGTTTTTCTTTCCCTCCACAAAAATAGGACGTTTGCATGGTGGCGTTTTTTAACTTCCACTACCAAGATGCTTCGCGAATTTTTTTTCTTATTCAAATTCGTACTTCGTCGTGATAACAGTAAGACTACTGAATAAAAGAAAGTGCGCACGGGATTCTGGTAGTTGGAATTCAAACGTCCTATTCAAATTCGATCTGTGAGTTAGCTGTGCCCTGACAAAGTTTTTTTCAGGGCTTGATATTGGCTCTGGTATATCGTGCAAGTATTTCATCAAACAAAAGATAACAATGCACTAAAGATTGCTAGAATGTTTGTTTCCTTCTCCCTAACATTTCCAACACACTGCTTTCCTAAAGATGTAATTCTTTCAACATTACTACCAACCTGCTGCTGCCCATAGTGCGACCTGTTGGGCTGTTGTACCATATACATAGATGGCTGTACACCCCCGACATACTGCGGCACCACTACCTGGCCACCCTGAGGTGACATGGTAGCACCCTGTGGCATGGGCTGCTGTTGTTGTCTGTGTTGCTGTGGTTGTTGAGCATACCCTGGATTATTTCCTGACTTCATTACCATGGGTTGGTATGGTGACTGGACAATAAACATTGGGTTACCATCGGGACCCACAGCTGCAATAGTAAATGGTAATATGGCCGTTAAGCCTGGTTCTCATTAGCGCGCAACACAAGCCGGCACAATTATAAGGACAAGCGCAAGCCAACGCAAGAAAAACTAGACGCATATCTGCGTGAACTCGGGCTTCATAGCAGAAAATTGAAAGAATTCTTCGTAACACTGTCATCCTTCTGACGAAACCTTGAAAAATTCCGCCATTGCTCGACCATGTGCTTATGTGGCGCATACTACGCACGCGCATAGAACTTGCACATGCGCTTAGAACGCAACTACGATTTGAGACAGAACGCAAAAAAAGGCCAATTTATTCCTCGGGCATTTCTTTGAAAGCCCGAGTAATAAAATCTTCCTTTTTTGCGCTTGCATCGATTCTTTTCATAGTGAGAATATGGAGTCGCGTCTGCTTGCGTCGCTAGTGAGAAACATTAACAACCTCTGCAGCAACGACATGTTAACAATTGGTGATAGTGATATATATGTTGCAAGAGATGAAAATACAATATGTACCTGCATTAGGGTTTATAAGCATCATTCCTTGCTGTAGTGAATCAGAAGGTACCGACCACATGACATTACCTGTAACAGTAAAATGTCGTATACCTTTACAGCGCTTCTAAATCACACACGTGAAATCGTACAATTTGCAATCGTGAGGAAGAAGGTTTTGGTGAACGTCAATCGATGCGTTTCCATGACATTCCATAGGCACGTGCACTTAAAAGCTTTGTGTTTTCTGACAATGCTGGTAAACACTTTGATTGGCGTCCACCAAAACTCTATTATGTCTGGAATAAACTTTTTCACGATTTCGCGTGTATGATTGAGATACACACTACAAATCTTTACTTGGGTTAATCAATACCTCACCATCCCTTACCTACTACCCCTAAGAAACTACCAAGTACATCATTTTTTAATCAACAAATTTACCATGGTTTTACCTGGCATGTTCTCTAATTTACCAAGATATGACGTCATGATCAATGTATGTACTCATGAGACAACTATATAATTTAGACCAACTGTTTGAATCGTATCATGGTGAATAAGAGGACATACCACACACACAAAATCGGAAATTTGTTTTTTTACTACAAAAAAAAGAGTTTGAAAGAAAAATAATTTTAGGATCAGCTGGCTGCTCGAGCCATTCATAATGTGTTGAAGTAATTTGTTGGTATGTCCTCTTATACCACAGCTCTTGGCCAATCATAGAGTGAGAAAACTTACATTTGTATTAAAAGAGAGATTTTCAGAGGGTAGGTTTTTTAATTCTACACAAGATGACAAAATATGAAAACAAATCTTATGGTCGGTGTAGTAGCAGCAAGGAAATAAGCTTGATAACCAAAACGACATAGTAAAGTTTTAACCGTACTGATTTATTTCTGGCAGACATGTTTCGCCGTTCTACTACATATTACACTACGCATATACACGTACTATTCACTGTATTTAAGCATTTGTAAGGACTATCTTGTCACACTGATGATGGCGTAAGGATGCCGAAACATGTCTGCCGGAAATAAATCAGTACAGTTAAAACTTTACTTTGTCCTTTTGATTATCGAGAATAAATCACTAAAGCTTCCTCGTACCTTGCGAAGGTCCACCAGCAGTCATTACAGGAACCATTCCCCCCTGCATACCAGCTGGCATCCCCTGGGTTTGGACCATCTGTACCTCACCTCCTTGTACAGGTACAAAGGGCACTCCCTCTGGTGTCCAATACTGTACCCCAGACACAGGCATAGTGTAGCTGGTCAGAGGAAGCCTGCTTCCCTTAGGGCTTCCTGAACCTTTGGACATGTGCTCGGCAGCTGCAAAGGCAGTAGCACTAGCACCTGGGCTGCTGTATGACCTGGTCATCATTTTGTTCGACATGATTCTTATGCCTTTAAACACAAGAATAATGTTACTGGAAAATTTCCTTATATCGCAACCCTTCATTTTTTAAAAATTGGTTGGATTTTTGGACTTTTTTTTCTAAGAGAATGCAAAGCATTTCTTTTGTATTTTCCTGCAAGCCTCAACATTTTCGTAATGAACATCACGTGATTTGTTTGTAACAGCACTGACATTTTGGCTTCTATGTTAAAGAAATTATTTCAAAAGATTAGATTCTGGATTCTTTGGTCTTATCATCCAGCACTGTGGCTATTGGGGGATATACTTTCCTTTCCCATATTAGTATCTTATATTTTCCAATCTTAGCCTCCCCCCCTTCTTCCTAAGGAGCTTGACAGTCCTTGTGTTGTTAGAAATTTTTAATAGTCCATATTACAGTTCCTTGCACCATCTTAAAAGGTAGCCGTGCCTTTGCATTGAAGAGAGACAAACAGTGGGCTTGCAATGATAGAGACCCTTTTTTAACACCTTGGATTATTATATACATCTCTATCAATACAAGCCAAGTAAACTATTTGTGGTCTTATTTCCAGGGGACATTTGATGGGCAGTTTTGCAAGAAGATTATAGTTTACCTGATGCAGAGGAAGCCCTCTTGTCCATAGTTCTCTCATTATCAAAGGACTGCGACTTGTATTTTCGTACAACTTGTTCTCTTGGTAGCTCCTGTGTTATTATATCTGGATCATCTCTGCAATGAAACCACATCCTAAAAGTTACTAAGAGTAGAATGAATTGGAATAGACCTTTCCAGAATTTGCTTGACTAATCACGAAACAATGGTTTCTAGTTGAGGTTGAACTTGATGAATAAAAGAATCAAGTTCAGTCTCAACATCAAACCATTGTTTTGTGGTCATCCAAGCGATTTGGGGAAAGGACTATTGGTTGGTTTTTACGGCTTGTTTTGCAAGGGTAAGAGTTAATGCCCAGTGGCAAACAAACCCCCATCTGTTGCCCTTGTTCCATGATCAACTTGGGATTTAGAAGTTGATTTTAGTGGAGGGAGGAAAATTGTAGATTTTATAGACATTTCTGGAACTACACATTATGGAAATGGTATAACATTAAATATGGCTCATATCTCTCTACAGCATATCTCTTGGACTGTTAAATCTTACACTGGCTTGGTCCAATTTTATTACCTTGTGAGTATCTGTGTTTGGGGCATATCACTTGGATCTCCCTTGGACGACTGAGAAGACTGTGATGAAAAAGACTGAAAAGAATAGAACAGAAAGATTAATCAATAAAATAATCTCTTTCTCCCCTTCCACAAGCAGGGTTTTTTTATTTCAATAGGAACACTGTCCAGCTATTCCATGTTCAGAAGGAAATCAATGGAATCATAGGACTCTTAGGACCCCCTGTCTACCACCACGGGTTAATCCCAGGACTTCCTAGCACTCAGACCATGTAGCACCTTGAATATTTTGGAGGTGATGAGGGGGTGTTGGATTGAAACCTATTGCAGCATGTCAGAATGCAGCTCAATTTGGAGGACATAACAATAGGTTTCCAATTCTCATGAGATTAAAATTCTCTTGTTTTGTCCTCCAAATTGAGCTCACATTTTTTGATGTCACATGCAAGGGGTCTATATAGCAGACTACACTGTAGCATGGGAAAGGCTAAAATTGGGTTGAGGGGGGAGAAGGCCTTTCCATGGTGCTACTTTTTAAGTCCTTTCTTACATAACAATGCACCATTTCTACATTACCGTGATACTCATCAAAGGAAAGACACCTGCTCTGAAATGGAAAATACATGGTTTTGGTCTGTTAGATTCAATTAACTCCTTACATCCTGGTTGAAGATTCTTTCTCTTGCTTTATGGTACTCCTCTACTCTTTGTTCGATGGACTTGGACCTTTTATCCTCCATTCCAAGACTTGTATTCGATGGGCTGTCAACCTGGAGCAATTAAGCATTTTTTTTGATAAACTATGAAGAAACAGTCTATATTGAACTCTTTAGCTCAGACTTAATGTAATCCATTTCAGAGCAACAATGAATGACAATAGACCCCTTCACAGTTCCCTGCGCCATCTTGAAAGGTGCCTCTACATCGAAGCGAGAGCTTGTGAGCTTGCAATGATAGAGACATGTGAATAATTGTTCAAGGTGTTAAAAAAAGGTCTCAATCATTGGAAGCTCATCATTCTTCTCGCTTCCATTCAAAGGCATGGCTACCTTTCAAGATGGTGCAGGGAACTGTGAAGGGGTCAATTTATCTTTAAATTACCTTTGGGGGAGTGCTTTCTCCTGACGGTGTGTTCTGTCGTCTCAGTATTGCTCTTGGCATAGAACCCTCAGAATCTTCTGATTCTTCTCTACTCAAAGACACAAGATCTGCAAATCGTTGCTCTGGACTAAAGGAAAAATAACAAAAACAATAGAATGACATAAGCTAAGGTCTCTAACCGATGACAGTCATAAAGAAGAAAAAGAACAAGAACAAGGAAAGAATGGGCAATGAAAGGGAAAAGAGGTCTGCTTGCCATCATGACAAGTTAATATCCCAAGTGAAATGGTCACCATAGGGACTACAAATTTTGTGTTAAAGTTATACCCTCAAGGCTCTGATTAATAACCAGTCACACAATGGTAAATCCATTGATTAATTTCACAAATGGCAGCAAAGATTCATGCCATATACAATCCCATTATATTAATAAAAGTATTACAAGGACTGTGAAAGGCCCTAGATTGAAAAAAAAAGAAATGGTGGAAAGCCTCTCATTCTCCTTTGTGCCTGTATACTATAGTTAAATACATGCTATAAACTTACATTCTAGTATTTATACTTCTGTTGATGATAACAGACTTGCCAGTCTGCTGGTCAACATTGTGCTCCATACCAAAAAATGCAGCAACTCTATGCACTATCATCCTGTAGTAGGATGTCATCGGGGGATATTTAATAAAGATTATCCTACAAGAAAAAAGACAATCCACATTAAGATATACTTTAACGTCTTTTAAATACAATGTGAGGAATTTGTGCAAGAAAGCTTCGCATGGCTGCATGGCCGTTATGCTGGTTTTGGCAATCCTTCAAGCGCRACTCCATGAACGTTTTAAGGAGCAGTTATCAAGTATGAAATTAATTCAAGGAGTTTAACAATCACTATTTTGCATATGAGAATATATATAAACTATATATTTATACTGCAGTTGTAATGTATCTAATCGAGCTGATCTGTGCAGTATATCAAGCAACTTATGCAGATGCTGCGGGATTTGAACCCGTGCACTGGCAATTTGGGTGCTATGCTCTAACCACTGAGTTACCAAGTCTCATATGAGACTTACGAGGACACATTATTTGGGTTTATCGGCCAGATAGGATATATACATGTATGTATATGAGAATGTATATATAAACTGTAATAAAATTATATTTGTACTGCAGTTTTAATGAGCTGATCTAATTAAGCTGATCTACAAAGTATAAGCACTCTTTTGCAGGCATGTCATAGGGCAGGGATGATATCATGCTAGAGGCAAGTACTACTCACACTTCTTGTCATAAGTACTTTTGATACATCCTGTGTGCTTTATTACTGAACAGAGCATGGAAAAAGCGGTTTTATTTGCTTGAACGAAAAAAATCTGCTGCAGTTTTCAATGCTGTTTTTTCTTACACCATTTTGCAGTTTGCTTGGACATGCATGGTCGACGTCAGCCACGATTCATTTACTAAATACAGCACAGTTGTCAACCAATCAGAGCACTGTGCATACATTTACTATTTAAGCTATAAAATAAAAAAATTATTGGACTTACATTGGATCTTGGATAAAATTCAAAAAATCGTGCTCCAATTTCAGAACAAATTTTCTGTCTCTGAAATAAAAGTATATCCAAAGATTGAGCCAACATCCACAGCGGCAATGAGACACATGGGAATCAAGGGTGGAGTAGTAGCAGTAGTGCACTTATCTCCCAGGGGGAGGGGGAATCCGGGGTAAAAGTATCCGGTATGCTAGTCATATTTTTAGGGCTGAAAATAATTTGGTATACTGTGCTTCCAAGCTTATTTAATAACATACCGTTTGTCTTCTATACTAGCAGTAAATTTAAAATTTTATTGGTACTACTGTACCTTGGATTTCGGAGAGTCTTGACAATAAATTCATGTAAATCTGTGCCTGTAGAATCGGTGTATTCAAATGAATTATCTAAAAAAATAAAGATTTAAAACCTCAATTATTAGATTCTCACCAAACCTTTAGAGGACCTTTTTAGAGTAAAGTATAGAAGACTGTTACTGTCAGCATGTGTTATCTTTCATGCCTTTTTCATAATCATGCAACCCAGACACATGGCTATAATGGACTACTTCTACGGTACGGCAACCATCTTGGAATGCAAGGCATCCAGGGTGCAAATTTAATGCTTCGTTACAGTATTGATGTCCATTGATATTAACAAATCAACACAAGAGAATACAACAAAAGATGAATTAATATGGCACATTGGTCACCTTTATATAACTATAACTATAACTACTATAGGAGAAAGACAAAAACACCAAACTTTTTTTTTGTTTTACATTTTGCCTCTTGCCAAGATGGCCACCATATCATTGAAGTAGTTCAATCAGGACGTCTGGTTTTTCAGCTTTCAAAAATAAAATTTCTGACATCCAAAGTTTGTATTTTTTGATTGGCAGAAACCAAAACCCAAGATAGCTCTGGCACATGTTAGTCACATAAAAACTTTACACGTATGAAAATGGGAGTAAAACAAAGTGGTACCAACCAACCAAAAAGTTTGTATTTTTTGATTGGCAGAAGCCAAAACCCAAGATAGCTCTGGCACATGTTAGTCACATAAAACATTTACACGCAAGAAAATGGGTGTAAAACAAAGTGGTACCAACCTCTAGAAAATGAACCCTGTTTAGAAGTCCTGCCGAGACTTTCTTGTCTGGACATTGTTGTCTCACGCAGCACTTCATTGTCACTGGACTGGTATATGTAAGAGTCAAAACTAGTGTTTGTAACCGTTTGAGGTGTAGGTGCCTACCAAGAAAACATTGGAGTTGAATTCATTAACATAGTTTCAAGTGTATCATTTCAAGGGTAGATCCAGGTCGGGGATGGGAGTGGATTGGGTGGCTAGCAACACCCGTTTCAGAGTTTTAAAAATGTGAATAATGAGCTAGGGTTGCAGCAAGGAAGGCTTTCTTTTCTGTGAATACTACAGAGGCAAAAAAGTGCCACAATTTCGCATCCAAACGTCTAAGGTTCCACACACAAACATCAAACTTTTAGTCTACATTCCTTTCTCCATGTGTCAGTATCCATTTGATAATTTGTGGGAAATAAAATGATCAAAGGATGCTGACATATGAGAAAGGAAATGCAAGACTAAAAGTTTGATGTTTGTGTGTGGAATCATAGACATTTGGAGGTGTGACCATTGCATGTTTTTTTTTGTCTCAGTTTCGCAGTTGGCTTACATCCGTAGTAATAATTATTTTATTTACATTTTTGCACCTTGAATCTTGGTACTAGAATTGTATTTATTCATGCAGGATTCTGTTGATATGGTTGGCAACACTATGAAGGTCCTGAAGGAAAATGGGACCTGGGATTTGCTTTGTTAAGCTGGGGAAATGGGATTTTATGCACTGCGAATAGGATTCACAAACAAAAAAAAAAACAATCAAAAAATGGGAATGGGATTGAGAATTGGGCAAAACATAGGCTATGGGATTTGGTCAAAATGGGGGCTGGGAAATTGGATAAGTACCTCCTTCAGTACCCTGCACTAAAGATGTAACATTTAAATATGTACGTACCTCTGTGGCTTCTTCGTTGGGCAGTGGCGGAGATGGAGTGCTTCGTACAGCTGCACTTCTTACAAGCGTCTTGCGAGGGTTGTGTGGTGATGGCTAAAATAATAACAACAAATTTAAGTTACTTAAATAAATAGCAATGATAACAATCAAAACTGCTACAAATGAATAAATAAATAGTCCTTGTTTTTTTTGTTTTTTGTTTTTTGTTTAAAAAAAACCTGTGGCCATTGTTCCATGATTGAATTGGAAATTAGAAGTTGATTTTTGTGGAGGGAGGAAAACCAGAGAAACTGGATGAAAACCAGAGAAACTGGAGAAAAAACCCTCAAGCACAGGAGAGAACCAAAAACCTACTCTACCCACACACAATATCACATCCAATGAAACCCATGTTACATGGGTAAGAGGCAAGCACTCTCACTGCTACATTACCCTTGCTTCTTAAGTGATAGTAATAACAATGTACACTGTATTAGTCTCCTTGTACTAATTCCCAATCTGGGGGACAAAAAAAGAATTCCCTTCTTATGGATTGAAATCTTTTTTGCTGTCAATAAATTTCATTGTTTTCACTCCCAGGTAGGGATATATATGAGATACATTCAGTAATCACAAGAGAAGCTTTTTGATACAGTGGCTGTTTGATTTGCAGCAAGCCAATGTACACATTACAGTACCTCCGAAGCAGCCTTCGGTAAAAGCAGTGTTCTCATTCCCGAAATAGCTTGGCTCTGCTGTACATGGACGGTGCTATACGACACTGAGGGTATGTCTGTTGCCATGGTTACTGCTTGGGGTTGTTGTCGAGGTGATTCTGTTGTCTCTGCACTGGAAACTTCAGCAGTTGTGACAGTAGCAATGGATGAATTCTGAGAAATTAGAAAATGGGTCAATAATGGTAATTCAGTAAAAAACTTGGTGTAAAACACAAAACAAAGTCCTACAACAGAAAAAGAAGTCAACCACTACTTGCAGTTTTCGATATTCCAAAGACTCTGAGAACTCAGTAACTGTAAGCTGCATTGCTGAAATTTGTTTTTTCTAAGCTTTTTTACAGCCTGACATTTAAAAGTATGAGCAGCGATAACATTATTGACATTACTCTTATGCAGTTTTTTTTACATAAACAAGTGAAGCTGGCTGGCTTTACCAAACAAGTTGTGTAAAAGCTCGTTTAGCAGCAAAACTCCTGTGCACAGAATCATGCAAACACAATAAACATATTCACATTTTTGCATGTTGCGCTGTAATAGTGCAAGTATACTTACATCTGGTGAATGGTTGTTTTGCAGTTTGGTCATGTCCTGACTACTAGAATCTTGAGATAAACCTTTATCCATTATCTGTAAGAGTGTGCCTGAAAAAAGATTTGGTTGAGTTAGATCACATCTAATATGGTCCATATACAATCAACTCTCGTTACAGCAGAAACCCTTGGGACCGTCAATTGGTGTCCGTAATAGCAAGCGTCCACAATAGCAAGAATTGATTACGGTCATTTCTTTGTCAATATTTTTGTCGGGGATTTTTCTCCAGTCCGTAATAGTGAGTTGTCCGTAATATCGGGGTGTCCGCAAGGTGAGAGTTGACTGTATACATTTTATTAGAAATGACTGTAATATATTTTGCATTTTCTGTTTCTTTGTTTGCATCCAATGGCTATTCTAATTTGTATCATAAATTTTATATCAATAAAAACTTGCCCACAGTACATGTTGGAGTTGGCAGAATGCTCGAGAAGTGTTAAGAAGCACTTTGCTACAAACCACCCTTCTCATTGCATTCTGTCAATCCCTAAATGTTTTGCAAGGTTTCCTTTGCAACAATTTCTTCACAATAAGAGGAGTTAAAATTATGCTCAACATAAGGTGAGAGTAGTCTTCACGTCGGCTGCTATTGTTTCCACTTGAGTGTAAGTCAGATACTGAAATCATATGATTTGAACTATTAACTAAACTCACACCATGTAAATATTAACCTTTTGCATTTGTTGCGTTTCCTAAGTTTGAATTCCAAATGCATGGAATCAATGCAACAATTCCTACGCATCCATTATTCATAGGAATCAAAAGCAATGTCACTTTTGCATATCAAAATATTAGTTTCAATTTTTTATGCCATATGTAGACGACAACTATTTGATTTCCTAATTAGTGTAGGTTATTAATATTCATAAGTTGAAATTATGGGATGTAARCCGGGACAGGCAGCAAGACGATCGTAATACGTACACCATATGGTATGTCAAGATTATATTTGATTTTCCGTAAGATATAGGCTTTTAATTTGTAACTTTTTATTTCTAGTGAACCTCGTAATTATAAATCTGTCTATTGTGAATGAAATAACTGAAGAACATCAAGATTATCGAGAATTAAATCGCTGATATAATCGACGAGCGTTTTGCGTTGTGTACCCATTACTGAATTAGATGTCCCCACTGAACGAAAGAAGATGTCCGCTACACCATAATAAAGCCAAAACAAAGAATGCACAAGCCAAAAATTTTTTGCCATCATAGAAAATATTTTTTGAATTTTTTCAAGAGATTGAATTAGGAAAAAAGACTCCTAAGAAATTTAACTTGTCATAATATTATAAATCAATTTGCAAGTTATACAATTTGATTTGATTATTTCATGATAACTTGCAATCACGTAAACAACTACTAAACCTTTCCTGTTCAATGGCTGAAAGTATCTAAAATTATTTTGAATCATTTTGGATTTGATTAGAAATTTCTAATGGTGAAATTAAAAGCATAATATCCAATAAAGATATATATCTTTCTGTAAACATCCTTCAAAAAAAGATACTTAGTTATGCAGGATTTCATCAATATTTAAACTGTACTAGCTAGCAGAACCTTAGAACAAACACAGGATTTAGTTGTTCTATGCAAAGAATCAGAGCTATAAAATGCAAGGCTGGAAGCTTCTGCACTTGAAATTTTTTGGGGGAAACCTGAAAAACATTTTCATAAAACCTGCCAAGTGAAAATTGTCACAGAATAAGATATGCCAATCTAGTGAAAATGCTTTAGACATGTTTTTTAGAAAACAGTTTGTCTAATTTAATTGATTTTCGATGTAAGAATATTGAAGATATGTGCAAAACTAACACAGGAGTACATTTTGCACTATGAAAACTATTAATGCCTTTTCACTTTCCTTTCTACAAATTCTACAAGTTTGCTAATGTATTTTCACAAATTTGCTTTGAAAAAAATAACCCTAAGAGGCATGACACTGCTGAGAGTAACACAAACACTCTAGGTTTGCTCTGGGCTATAGTTCTGATAACATGTCAATCTATAATCACAAAACGACATTTCAAAGTGATTTATATGCATTTAACAGCTAAGACTTTATAAGATTTGTAACATACACCTAGATCTCTTCAGCCGGCTGGGACATTAAATAATTCTAATTTAATTTTCTTTAAATAATAATCACATAAATGGATAAAATATAAATAGCGTAAGTCACCTTAAAAAAGTGAACACTAAAAAACTTGTATATTTAAAATGAATTGATTTAGTGTTCTACAAGTGCTATCAACCATAGGTTTCAAAGGAGGTCCCTTTGAAATGCATTATTAGTTATTTTGTTAGAAAAAGTGATGGATGTATTTAAATTAGCCGTTAAGGCCAATGTGAAGGTCATCATTCAAAAAATATATCTTATTCATTGCAAAAAAATTCTCAGATCTCAATAATAACATATAAAAGATACCATCTTTAAAATCGAAATCAAGAAGGCTCTTAATGACATTATACCTTTATTTGAAAAGGTTAAGTTACTAAAGAAAAATTGACAATTTTTAAAGTATATTTGGTACAATGTAATTTCTTGTTAGCATAAAATGTAGTAATTTGATTTTCACTAGCTTACAGTCTATAGTAAAAGCAAAGTAGCAGACATGTGCTAAATATCACAGAAATTAGTTCTTTGGCAACTTGAATAAGTATGTGTGGGGGAGGGGTAAATGCAAGGACAATGACGAAAATAGGATCTTTTTAGGCAAACTTTGGAGAACGAATTAGTTGGTATGTCTGCCTGAAAAGCTTGTTATTGAGCACAAAAACTTCATGCATGAATTAAAATTTACAACATTGGAGTTATTCTGAAAGGTGGCTTGTATTCTTCTTAAACCAACTTTAAATAAAATTAAGGTTTTTAAGGATAAACCGGCATGCGACCCTTTATTGATAAAACCAGATCTCAAAGCACTTAAATCCCAAATCTATTGTGCACAGCCTTATTGATGCTCAAATCTGTGCCTCATCAAATACACTTGGTTGAATCGAACTTAAACATAGAATTTCTCAACGTACCTTGTATTTTGGTGTGTGTGAAGTCATCTTGTTTTATTCCTGGCTGTAGGATTTATCTTTACGCAGTGTAGACCATCGTTTTGGAAGTGAATTATACATCTAATGATAAACAGAAGTTTAGGATGTGGTTTGGTAGAGGACGTTGCTTGGTACTGTTCTACTCGAAGGAGCTGCCCATCATCCAGTTATCTGCGAATCCATTGAAATATACAGGTACATGTTAAAAGTGATCTGGGATTTCTATGGGTATCAATAGCTGCAAAGGTTGTGGAGAGAGAGAATAATGACAACTGAGCCATAACTCCTCTCTCAAGGACTGAAGGCCATTGAAAGAAAGCGCTGTGAGGTGTGTGACAAGACGTTCTAAGAGGAGTCTCGGCGAGTAACACCATAAAAGCTTCCCTTCAATACAACGAAATACGTCAATGGACTGAGGAAAAAAGAAGTCTTAGAAACCTAGGATAAGTTTTCCCAAAGCAGAATTCACAAACACCAAGGGTTTTCCACTAAGCTGACGGCATAAAATCGGCAGGCTATATGTAACACTAGTTGATTAATAATTCAACTTATTGGAACTCTCTAGTATTAACAAGGAGCAAGTACTACTTCCACTTCGCGTCAAAATCTATTCTACCTAGCGAGACTGCATCAGTATTTCTTCAAATTCGGGGTAAAACAACGCCCCGGAAAGGAGGGAAACTGTTCAAAGACACGCGGATTTGAAAGCATATTAAGGGAATAAAATGACAGAAGAAATGTATTAACTGTAGTGAAACAGGAAAGGTACACATCCATCCCAAAGAACGCCACCATATTCCCCTAACTTATCTCGAAAGCGTGGGCGAGAGTTAATTTTAAATTCGTCTAGTGAAACCCGGGAATTCATAGGTAGCCGTTCTATCTTACCTGGATCTCTCTAGTGCATATTTAAAACGTTTGTTCAATAGAAAAGCTGTTCTATCTAAGGAGAAATCCCGACTGATGAATTGCAGGACACAGTTTTGAAGTGACTTAAAGAAACCGTTTGTACTCAAACCCCGGCCAATTTTGACGGACAATAACGGGCTTTACACACCGTCCTCTGTTGTTCCACCAAGCAGGTTAAGAAGATTTGGATAGGAAAACAGAAAAAAACCCTCAGAAGTAGAACAAAAATATGACATGTATCAGGCATGGGAGCTTTATACAACACCGGCTCAAACCATACACTGACCGCTGCGATCCATGGGTGAAATGACGTCATAGTAAATGACAATATTTAGAACACTTCGGGAGGTCTTCGTACGCCCGAGGCCGAAGCGGGACTCCTGACGAATGATTCCGAAAAGCCGAAACGCTGTCGGGTTTCTAATTTATATGACTTCATTCATTCAAAGTTATTTACTCGAAATTAAATGAAGACTACTGTTTTGGTTATTCAATATTAATGGTACGAAAATACCAGGGGTACCGTTTGCGATTTGGCAGGTCTCTATGTAAATCAAAACATTTAGAAAAATATTTTCAAGTGTGGGACGTAAAAAATTATAAAAATAGAGAAATATTGAATAATGATAAAGCGATACTATTAATGAAGAAATACAGCAATGAAAGTACGTTTTAAATGGCATTTATTTAACGTTGTGACTCTTAGGGACATGAAGTAGTATAGCCTTAAGCCACAGCGCAAAATGTGGGTGATTGTAAAAAAAAAATCATTAAAATGCGAGACTGAACGAGTCTACTTCAACGTGGAAAAGATACCAAAAATTTGCGGGTGAATAAATATCTARAATAAACTTTCCAAAGATGAAAACTCAAAATCTTTATTTAGAAAATATTAGAAAATGCTGGCCTCTAGTTCTGGCTAGTGTTACGAATGATTCTGCTTCTTGCCTCGTGATCAGAGCGAACATATAGAACTTGAAATTTGAAAAACACAAAGAAAACTATTAATAAATGCTTATATTCAATTTGAATTGACTCGTTTTCCTTTTTCTTTTTTCTTTTCGCTTAATGTAATGGAAATTTTATCAACTATTATCAATAGTTATAGACAAGAAATCACAACATTCCAATAGTGTAACCTTATCAATTTTTTTACTTTCAGTTTCCTATAAGGTTTAATTTCAATTCAGTATGCAATTTATAATACTATTTTTTAAATTTTTTTGCTGATTTGCCTTAATTATTTTGAATRGAATTCAGCTTCAAGCATGATCATTGGTAGTTGTCTTAGCGATTTTTAGAAAAATAACTGATTTATTATTTGAATATTGTGCAGCACTGCCTGTTCTCAGCTCAATCATTATAAAAACAATGTTAGTATGAGATGGCTTCCGCAAACTGGAGCACTCTAATTGGATGAACTGGGATTYCATTCTAGAGTCACGACAGCTCTCAAAAGGCTTCCCACTTTCAAAATTCCTTTCCAAACGTGACATTTGRCAAAGCGTAATCATGACTACTATCGAGCACCGTGATTAGGTAATCTGCATTTCATTTCTATTTGATTGGTTAAGAGCGCAATCACRGTGAACGTGCGCTTCCAAAATGCTTCCCCCACTCACGTACTACTTATTACGATCCTCCGCAAAGCTCGAATTCATGAATTAACAATTGCTTCGGGCACATACGGCATTTTAATGGCTATTTTTCTATCACATTTCTATCATTAGTCATTTAGACATTTAGTGGTCTGACGCACTGATTTGGAATGACGTTCCAGTTTGGAATTCATATTTATGCTTCATACAAAATAGCTCGAAGTTTATATCAGCAAGTAAGCCTGGACCCTCCATGTTACGCATTAAAATGACGTTATTTTCTTGAATCGCGTCACTCTGATAAGCGTGTTATTAACCGCAGTCACCACAGAAAAGACGAAAATATAGAACCTAGAGCGTGGAGCGTCAACCGACGTCAGTTGTGTTTGGCCTAAAATGCTAAAAATAACATGAGTTTTTCTGCGTGTCGRATCATTCGTGCCTATCTGTCTGTCTATCCGTCTGGTCATTATCTGCCTATCTATCTCTGTCTCATTCTGTCCATTCGTTTGCCTATCTGTCGGTCAATCCGTCTGGTTTGTCTRCCTATCTATCTGTCTGTCTGTCCATCCTTCAGGTTTGTCTACCTGTCTGTCTGTTCATCCGTCAGCTTTGTCTGCCTATCTGTCTGTCTATCCATCCTTCAGGTTTGTCTACCTATCTGTCTGTATGTCTGTCCATCCGTCAGCTTTGTCTACATCTGTCTCCTTGTCTGTCTGTCTGTCTGTCTGTCTGTCTGTCTACACTTAATTCATACTCGAATCCATCTCAAAACGGTTGCATCAGTCAAGGTAATTACTAAAGTACCCTAGACTATTTTGAAAATACATAGTCCTGGTTAAAAAAATATTACAAATAGCCAAACTAATATTTTATACACTCTAAATTCCAGTTTGATCACGGAAAGAGGGCGACAGGTTTGTTAGCCAAWAGGCCGGTCTATTAATAATTGAATTGCTTTGTGAACTTATTTTATCTCTTATAATAACGAATCCACACGTCCACASGTATACGTTTTCATTCGTGACGCATAAGCGTTTAGCCCTTCCGTCCACACGTAAACGATGAAAACGCTTACCGTAAACACATACTTTTGAAAACGCTCTCCAAAGTGGACACTTTTGAAGAAAGAAAGTTAATGAACTACTTCGACGATACGGGCGGCCATCTTGGATCGTGAGGCATTATGGGGCGTTCCGGGGGCAAAAACAAATCAAAGATGTCGTGTGTTTGTTTTTCTTTGGGTAAAGATGATCGATATGCTGTGTTTGGCTGTATATAATAACGGGCGTTATAAAGAGCCGGAACGTGACATTAGCTCTATATTAACCCTCTGGACGCCCCACAATGCCTTACRAACCAAATKGCCGCTGTATCGTCGAAATAGCCTATTCAACTGCCTTCATTTGTACGTCCTATGAAATACCATGTTGTTGAGTAATGAACTGACAAGCATCTACAAAAATGTTCTCTATTACGGAAAAGTAGGAACGCCACATATGGTACTTATCGTTTATTATTCCTATCAATAAATGTAATTGTCGATCTACGTGTGTTAGTATCACACGTGTGTTAGTACATGAAGTACCATAAGACTAAGGCCTGTCAATCAAGTTTGAAATTTAAACTATCGAACGTGGCCTTGRTTAATGACAAAAAAAGTATCTTGCTGTTAGCCGCCTCTCATGTGAAATAATTTTGTTATTTAGGATCTTATAACTAACTTTATAACAATATTCCGTACATAAAGGTACGAACCATACCGTGAAATCCGAATGACATATAACGAAAGACAGTGGCGGATCCAGGGGGGTCGAAGGGGTCCACGGAACCCCCCTTGAAAGTTTGATCTTTTAGGTAATAGAAATATGTCTTATATAAATTTTGCTTAAAAGTATCCACAAAGATAATATTGAACACGAAATGATAGATATTTGCTGTTATAATGTTTAATTTACCTTTAATTTCCGTTACTAGATAGTAAATTAGGTGATTAGAGCCAATTTTTTCGTCAAACATCGACTAAACAAAAGAGAATTATACACAGTTTAAGAAACGGAACCYCCTTTTRAAAAATCCTGGATCCGCCACTGAAAAAATTTAAGTGTAATATTTCAAAAGAAGTGGTCGCAAATCCAACTAAACTTCCCGGCATTCCCTGCGAGATATAATCTTGGCATAATACTCAGGCTAGAATCCATATCAGTGTGTTAACATAATGGTTCAAACACCGCTGATCACTGTACAATATCACCTTGAAGCTTACTACCATGCCATATGTTCGAGTCATCWAGCTCAGAATTAAAAGAATAAAAATATCATTCAAATTTCCTATTTAGGTTTCTACGGATTCAGAAGCTGAAATTTTTTCTTTGTCAATCGATTTTTCTCCGTTAACTTTGGTATTTATGCCTTTTTCTTTTTTATATATGATAGCTTCCCTCGTATCTAAACTCAAAAAGATTATCCCATCTTTAGTGGGAGCTATTTCCGTCCTCATATCTCAACACTAATTCAGTCAAGTTGATATATTTACGGACGGATGCGTTWTTCATATAACCATAGTAATGTGTTGCTCAGACACAAAAGGCACGATTCGACTTGCGGTTGGATCTGCCAGTCAATAAGCATGACATTATTTRTGTACACACTAACTCCTTCATGTTCTTAATAAATTTATATGATTATTAATGAGATTACTCTGTCTTACGACGTGTGGGAGCAAACGGTCAAGGTGAATTCAGAGAACGGGTRAGCTATATTGCCGACTAGGTGAATTTTATATTTGAATAAATTTTTACTCTGGAAGGAAGTTACATTTACCGAATTAATTTGAAATTCTTTTTTTTTTACTTTTTTCTTATTTTTCTCTCATTCGAAAAAAAATATGCATTCATTTATTTAGAAATACTCTAGCTTCATTCAGTTGGAACCCCAAAACAGTTAGTTATTTCATCCAAGTTTCAACAGCCAATCCCCTCAAAAAGACAACAACAACAACAAAATAGAAAAAAAACACTCACACACAACCCCCCCTCCCCCATGATTTCAATCCAAACTGTAAGATTTATTGCTATTCAATTTTTTTTTTTTTTTAATTTCATTACTAAAATTTGGAATGACCATTTTCTTGTCCACGAGTCAATTTTATGCATCCCCAATTCCTTGCGTGACAAACTAATGTTATTGAAATTACAATTAATTTCTTGGCTTATTTAGCTATTAGCTAGAAAACAATTTGAGAGATAGGTTCGTTGATTTACTGAATCAGGACCTCTGTTTGTTTGGAAGTCAAGATATTGATATTTTGAAGCAAGCCAAGCTTATTGTTTAGTACAGATTGACAAGACAAGAAATGGGGAAAACCTGGGAAAAAGTAAGAAAATAAGACGTACATTCAAAATGATTGCTATATTCATTAAATGCTGAGAGAGARAAAACATGTTATATCTTCATACTTTAGGATGATAAAGCTGAAATTTTTGATAGCTCAATAATAATAAAAACGACAAGTAGGCAAATTTGGATACGAGTTTAAAAATATATATTACAATCAGAGGTATTATATCAGAAGACATTTCGCTAGAGTTTGTCCCTGGCCAATTTCCCGTTGTCGATCAAAAGTTCAACTCGTGAGGGGAAGAGCGGTGTTTTGTCCGTGAAAAATGGCTTATAATATTTACCGAA